AAGAGAGAGTGAATAAAAAATATTACTGAATTTCGTAAATTATGAATTTGCGACTTTGAATACCTAGTTGAATAGGCTAGTTATTGTTCACTAGGCCACAAATTCAATAGGTATACTATATAGTTTTTGGCGTGTAACATTCACTATATCTTTTATATTTATGTTGAATAGTATTTCATTTAATATAACATAAAATCACAATATATTATGCATGTAAACCTGTAGTGGCAGGTGTAAATAATAACAATAATGTACTGATTCACATTAAAATTGACGTACGCTAAACTAAACTATACGCTATTACAATAATATATATAATACTAACGCCGCGCAGTAGGTTGCATGAAAAAATTGATTAATTTAATGGACAAATCACGGGCCACTAAATCATGTTTAAGGAACCATTAGCGTACTATTAATTAATTAAATGTTTAATAGTTATTTATGCAACAGGGCATTACTATATTGCAGATATATCAACGTGGTATTTAATAGTTACGAAATATTGTGTGAGTGTGGTTACTACAGGTTTAAGGTTCCAAATAATAATATTTACTTTTTAAATATTATATTATAAATTGAGAGATTTTTAAAAATTCACTACTCCATCATATGCTTTGATTATTTATAATTTATTTAAATCATGGCAAATCAATATACCTATAAAAATTCGATAGCGTATTACCTACCATTTGTACAATAGGCCAAACTTTGATTTTAGAAATCTGCATAGGTACAAACGTTATAAATATTATGACAAGTATTGATCAAAGCTATCAATAATTGATTTAAATACTTTATATAATATTGTAATTTTGAAAACCATCGTAGGTACCTATAGAACATTCCATGGATATTTTATAAAGCGCTAAAAGCATATAAATAACTGTCAATTCCTAAATAAAACCTGTGATTAACATAAAGTAATATCGTGGTGTGCATCTTTACTTTTAACTCCATGCGATCTTCTTGGTTAATAATCCTCAGTAAACGAACGAAGTTCACTTTGATCAAGGATTGAGTAGCGGTTATCCTCTTTATCTTCAGGTGGAAAATATTATGGTTATTTGTTTAGTATAGTACCTATACCGCACATAATACAGAGGAAAGTTGATAGCGATAAAGTTTTAGAATACTAATGCTAACGTTTGAAATGTTTCCAAAATTTAATTTAGTAAGCGATAGGTGTGATAGATTAGCTAACCGTGGTATAAGACACAAAGAGTTTTTCTATTGGTTCTCCGCGATAATAATCTACTGGTTATGGTGGCAAAATTATAAACAAAATCGACCACGGTTTTGGTTATTGGAAACAAATAGATCAGACTTTGTGTTATGGCGTTTATGATGTTTAAAAATGATTACTCAATCGTTTAGCAAACAGACAGTTCAAATTTTTTCGTTATTAGACATTTTCAACATTTACCGTTATCAAATTTCCTCGCAGTGAATCGCGGTCATTGAATTTATACCATAGTTAAGGCGACCGTCGTCCATATATAGTTTGTACGTTAAGCTGGGTTCACACTTGTCATTTTCCGTGTTATGTTAAAAAATTGAGCTCAGCCCAACAGGAAACTATTTGGTAGATCATGGTTTGTGAATGATACCATGATTATATTATAACGAACTATAAAATTACAATAAACACATTTCACACAATATGTAGCTATGGCTCAGCTTATACGTACGATACTATGATGTAACCACAATATCCTCTGTAGGTCAACCATGAAAAAAAAATCACTTACTCAGTGTCCATTGCACGTCGTCCAATTTCAATGATCCCTTTAAGACTACGGTCGACGGAAAATGAAATATTGTATGAGATATACTATTTTGAACAGCTAAACGCGACAATATCCGTTGACGCGATCAGTTAGTTTGAGGAAAATGGTTTGGGTGACCTGTCGAGCGACAACACGTATAGTAATGATTGCGAGCCTCGTTGCTTTCGGTCTGACAAACGCGACGTTCAATTTCAATTACAAGAGATAACAAGGATTGAAAGTGTTTCAGTTATCAACGAATGTTATTCCTTGGTTCCATCAAATCTTTCTAAGCTTTTACGATAATTGTTCATTTAATAGATTGACCATAGTCACGCATCATAATCCAGAAATTAATTCACTAGGATAATATACTGACGCACCAAAGAGAATATAATTTGATAGTTTCGGTCCCTACTTAATTTTTTTTTATCAGTAGTTATTTTTCATCCATATGCAATTAGTTCTTAAAACGTAATAGTGACATAGGTAATTGGAGGAAAAACATTAATAATTTAAGAGGAGATAAATCGAAATTGGTAAAATTCTATTACCTCGTTATCCTGTGGTAGAAAAATAACAAACCAATATGTATTATACCATTTACACCTCGTTTTTAAATCGGTTTAGCTTAGCGAGTTTCTAGAGTGCGTTCTTACAATATAAAATTATAAAATCTAAGTTGATCATTAAATGTTAATCAAGTGACTGCGCGAAATAGAAATGTGTAAATATATAATATTTCGTGATACAAAATTATAAAATATAAGTAAATAGTAGTATAGAACATTTTATCGTCTAAATATAGCAAAAAAAAAAAAAATAAATAAAAAAATATTGTATTATTATAATTATTTGCGTGTATATAATACAAATGTATTCGTTATCGCGCATTGAATAAGCACAAGAATGTTAATAAAATATATAAAATACGAAAGATATTTTTATTTATATTACTATAATGGGTGGCTGCAAGTCACAAACATTCAATGTTTAACAAGGCGTGGACTAAAATAGTTTCAGAACTTTTGCTCTGTACACTAATTGCTCGTTATTCGTAAGCCCTCATAGAGCTTATTAAGACATATATTTTTTTGAATATATAATAAAACATAATATTTAAGACTGTTATTTACTATCCATTAAAACAATAATAATCAAATTAACATAATAATATAAAAATAAATAAGAGCATCGTGCATAGTAAAAATCTTTTAGTTAACAATTTTAACGATTTTAAAGAAATACAACTTTTCTACAATGCAATCACAAATTATTGGAAAACTGATAATAGTGATAATGGAACAATAAATCGCTACATTTTTTATTAATATTAGTTCAAAGTGTTAATTTTGGTGTAGACAAAATTTAGAAGTGGGGCTTGGGCGGACTAGAAGAATCAAATTATAATATAAAAATGTTCATGTTTTAGTTATTGAACTTAGTAATTCATTTTAAACTAAATTATAATATAATTATCCTACACTTTACAAAGCCAATATTAAATGTGTAATTGTTGAATAGGTATTGTACGAGTTGTACGTATTCATAACCACAAAGTGAAAAAAAATGGAGGGGCTTCAGCATCCTCAGTTTTTTTATTGAAATTGGGCCATTGAATCCTGAACTTGATTTAATAGCTAGTCGGTTTAATCAATTATATAAATATGTTTTATCCTCTACTCTGGTTTATATTTTTAATTTATTTTTATCTAGTGGTATTTTTCTAGATACATGGAAATCAAATATTGTTTGTCCTATTTCTAAAAGGTTGTATGATTTGACTAGGTTAACCTAATCACAGGCCTATCTTTTTACTTTCAATCGCATTAAAAATATTTGAATCTATCATGTCAGATTAGAAAACTTTAAACTACTAGATAAAATATTTAATTATTTTGTATGATCAAAACGGTTTTAGACCGTCCAAATCAACCACTCTTAACTCACTAACACTTAAACATTCCTTATGCGCTTTTTATGTATGGATGTTATATATACTAATTCGCTAAAATTGTCGATAAAGCTAGTTGCTTATTCTTTTATATAAATTGAATTATATTGGCGTAATAGTCCAGTTTTATGATGAGTCAAGTCTTTCACTTCACAGTGGACTCAAATTGTGACTTATAAACAATTTTGATCGAAGCCAATACCTATCAACTTCATCGGGTGTACCTCAAGGTTCTTAACTAGTCCAAATTTTATTTTTATACATAATCATGGCATTACTTTTCTAAATAGTTCTAAGCTTATGTTTGCAGATGATATTGAAATTTACCATGTTGTAAATTGTTATAGAAACGCTGAATTATTAAAATCTTAATAAAATTTGTTTTTTAATTGTTTGAAAAAAAATGTATACCCTTACTATTAAAAAACACCAAGTAATAACTTTCTAACGTTTATGTTTCAATAATTTTTCGATAATTATATGAATGATATATCTCAATATCTCAACCCAGAATAACTGACGTTATTAAAAATCTTTGTGTAAATGTTGAATCCTAATTCCCTAATTCACATTTAACGTTACATAAAAGATAAAGCCTTAATACTGCTAGGATTTATTTACAGAAGCTGTGTCGATTTCAATGATAAGAATATTTTTATTTCAATTTATTGTTCTTCATAATGTTCAATTTTAGATTATGGTTCTGTGATTTTGCTCCATATAATAATGGATTATTAACTACCTTTGAGAAAGTTAAAAGTAGTTCTTACGCTTTTTAGCTTTCGAGTGTAATATACTCAGATATCACCATACATCTTTACTTATTTAAATCTCGAATCTCTGAAATAACGCAGAATCAGACTTGATTTATATTTTATTTATAAGTTATTGAATATGACTGTATTCACTGTCAACTTTTTAAGCAGCGTATTGTTTAAAATTTCCTCAGCTTATATCCTATCAACAAATTTATTTGATTTAAAATCTCAAACTGCTAATTATGCTACTCATATTATACCACTCTTGAGAGTCATGAATTAATTTTAATAATTATAACTTTGATTCGTTTTGTCATATTTCCTCTCTCTCTCATTTAAAAACCACTTTACTGCTAGTTTACGCATATAAATTGATATATTTATATATAATATTATTTATATTTTGTTTTTTTTTTTTTTTTAAATTAATTCATGTAATTGAGTCCAAACTTGTATAATATTTCTATAAATAAATAAATAAATAAATAATGGACAAGCCAAATATGTTTTTATATTTACCTCCGTAATAACTTCAGCTGGGTCGGGATTATCAGGAGTAACCGTTCTACGAGTCAGATTCATCACAGGTGGAGGAGATTGGCACTTGGATAAATTTCCACTGGCCATACCTGTAGAGATAAAAATAAATAAAATTTAAGATTGAAGTGAAGTTTGCAAATAATAATAAATAAATAAAGATATGAAAAATGATTACAAAAATACAAACTACAAAGCATCGTGATAAAAAGAAAAATTAAATTTCAAGTCTTATTAAAAAAGTTCGATACCTATACGTTTTAGCTTAAACGTTGAGATGATAAACTTTTAATCACAATTTATTGTTGTTTATTTTTTATTTAAATATTGGTATACTAAATCATTTTCAAATTATTTCTACAAAGAAATAATATTGTTGCGTCGTCAAACCTTATTAGAAGTTTAATTTGTTTGATACCTATACTAAGTGCTAAGTGTGGTAAAATATAAATTTAAATTTTTAATTGTCATAAAATAATATGAATATCCGTTTATTTTTCGATAATCGTTTGTAATGCATTTATAGATATGATCAAAAATAAATGAAAATATGTACTTAGATATATATTAACATTTTACCACACTATTCAATGAGCCTAATGTCTAATACTGTGTAGCACTATTTACTAAGTATGGGTAATAAATAATACTGAACAGCTCATAGATCTCAAATTTTAACACTTATTTACCACCGTCTATAGTTTTTAATTAAAAACACTATATTATCATGTCGGATTAGTTGTTCTTGCTGTGGTATTTAGATAATGGATTTAGAACGATTTATTTTTCTTTTCCACCATAGTCGGTACCACTGAGTACGGACGGCAATCAAATTCTCCCGCGGCTATATAATTATAAGCTTTAGTTGAAACTTATAGCGTAGCTACGAATTTCGTTTCTTTTTTTCTCGAAATGTAGAGAAAAAAAATTACGTGTCACCCCAATCATATATATATATGTATATAAACCGTAGCCAGGGTGACATATTCGTTGTTTCTTTTTTTCGTGAAAAACCCTGGTAACAATAGGATTAACTGATCTGGTTTGAGCTAACGTCATACGATTATACGAACGGGAAATTCGTCAAGCTCTATCCGACGTAAACGATAGTGTTTTCGCGGTTCGAACACAGAGAGAACTCATAATATGAAATGACCCGATCCTATGATGCTAAATAATTTATGGTTAGGTACATTGTTACATAGATTGTGCCCCTAAGTACAACTTAAATAATGCATGCGTAAATTGTACACACAATACTCACGTTTACACAGTCCCAACCACCCATATGATTATAAATACAGAACGATTATTTGATCACTATGCAGTGATTTACTAGGAAAATATAAATGGTTTTTGAGATAAATAATAAATCGTTTAAACATCTTGGTGTGTTGTAATTTATTACTTATAATTAGGTATATACATTTTTTAAATTTTATAAAAAAAAATTATATATTTTCAGTCACATTAAAAGCAGTCGTTTTCTAGGAAAATGCATAGTGGTAAAAGAATCACATTATATTGATATATATATTATATAAAGAGTATACATATTAAAATAAATAAAACAAACGCGTAAAGTATGTGAGCTTTTATTTAGATGTATTTGGAAGCATCTGTTATAGTTTATTGTACTCGACATATGCGAGTATTAAATGAACCAAATGTATATACGATTAAAGCTGTGTTTTGTTGTTTTTATATGCTATTTTAACTTTATTATATAATTTTAATATTATAATACAGACATTACCGACAGAACATATTTTGATATCTTTAAGCAGCTGTGTTCATATTTAAGCGTTAGGAAAGGGTCAAAATATATTTTTATTAAAATTTCCTTAAATGCCAAATGAAATGTTTAAATATAAATATGAAATTAATGCTATTGTGCACTATTTAGTTTTGGAAAAATGTAATTAATTTTTATATTTTATTTTGACTCATCTCTTAATCTTATTTATACCACTCTAAAATAAATGTATTAATAAAAAAATAATATTTTATAAATCATTGTTAACTTTTACTTTACTATTAAACCTCATAAATTGTTTCATTTATTTAATTGAATTTATTTAAAATTTTAGATTTAAGTATTGACATGGGGTTGACTAATAATATATTGATCATTTATGCGTATTTCTTTCGAAATAAACTTAATGATCTTCCATGTTGTATGGTGTTGAAAGTTAAGATACAGAACCCTTTTCATCATAATATTTATTATTAAAACCTTTAATTAAAATATTTTGTCAATGGTTGTAGGTTTATCTTTGACGTATTGTTTATAATTATCGACCTGCGTTTGGATATTTTAAGATAATATTTTATAATTATATCATCATAATACACAGTGTTTATATATTAACAATCGTTAATTTATTTAATAAGGTTAAGTACTTGCCATTTGTATCTAACTGAAAATATTATGATAATTAACATACACATTTTAATATTTGAGATATAGGTAACTAAATTGTATTGCTATAATCATCGTAGACCATCGGAAACAAGATTTATATTCTAATTAAATACATCGTTAAAATTGTAGAGGATTAGGTTAGCTAAAATGGTAAATATAATAACTGAATTTCTATCATTTTAAAATATTGAAATTTCTTTTTAAAAATATAATGCATGTTATTCCTGTGGAAATGCAAGCTTTTAAATTTGTATGACACTCCTTTATTTACAAAATCAAAAAATACGGAAGGAGAAGTAATAGGTCTTGGTAGGATTTTCAATGGTAAAAATGAACTTTTTGATATATTAAACCAACAATGATTATATTATCTAACATTTCACTGTTATGATTATAGTATAACAACTGTATTTATTTTTTGAAAACAGTAGGTATTTAAAATAATTTTAAATTGTGCTTAATAAGTGCTTAAAAATGAAATAATTAATATTAAAGCAATATAATAAAATTAAATCATACCATTTCTTAGTTTATTTGTAGCGATTAAGTCTTTCATCAAATTTGAATGTTTCTGAAATCAAATAAAATATTACATTTTATTAGATTACTACAGCAATGTATGTTTTTCATAATCTTTAAACAAATGTATCCAATATAAATTTAAAAAATAACATTACAATATTTCAAACATTAATTACTGATTTAATTTCTTTATTAAAGCTATTGTATTAATACAATACATTACAAATTGACATTTTACAATATTAATAAGACAGTTCTTTATAATGCTATAAAAAACAAGATTCTATTCTAAAAACAATAAATTATCAGACTAAATACTAGCCCGATGTATTTAATTTAGCGCTACATTTACATTTTTTGGTTTTGTTTATGTTATACTTAAAATGATAAAATTTAAGTTTGTGAGTATTTTCAAATGATTTCCTCCAATTTTGACTTGAAAAATTAAATTATATAGACTTTATTGATGACTTAAAAAAATTTTTTAAAGTTTTATTTCACAATTTGTTGATGTATATAAGGGGTGTCCAACCCGCGGCCCATGGTAGATATTGATGCGGCCCTTACTTCAATTTAAAAACTATTAATTAATTGTATATAATATATTAATATTACGAGAACAAATTTATCATATGAATATAAAACAACATAATATTAAACATCAAATAAACTTTAATCGTGTTTAATAATTTTATCTTAGCATAATAGCACGGGCACACATTAATTATAGGTGGATCAACTCGAGCCGATTTTGATAAAATTTTTTATTATTGGAGATATGCCCACGGCATTGATCTCGTGTCATTTATCAACAAATAAAAATAAAACACTGTATGTATTAACTATTATTATTAAAAACTATGTGGCCAGCAACAATTTCTACCCATATGACGAGGCCCAGACATCACAAAAGGTTGGACATTCCTGTACAATGTATATCGAACAATAAGCAAATGTGTTAATTATGAATGTGTAAAAAAAAGATTAGTTTCACTGAATGAATAATCCTCCAGTTGGAAAAACTTTTATTTACACGAGTAAAATTTATAATTATGTTATTGATGATATAAGTCTATATTAATCATTCAAATAATTAAATTTAATGATAAATGGATTTCGTGGTATTGTAAATACATTTTAAAAGTTTAAAATGTAATTAAAATATTTCAATGTTTAGACAAATAAAATTTTGTTTTATTTTTATGTTTTGTTTTAAATGAAAAATAGACAGTGGAGCAAGAGTTCTATGTAATATTTAAGAAATTGAAGAATTGTCTCCAATAAATAATACAAGGCAAATTAATAAATTAAATTAAAACAGTAATTGTAATATTTGGACATTGTTTAAGGTTTTTGAATATTTAAATAATGAACAATGTCTATTTATTTTTCAAGTACAACATGGGCCATGACATAATTAAAAACCCAACAGAAAACATTTTTTACTTAAACATACATTAATATTAACGCTTGACCTTTTTTGTAAAAATCAAAATTATAAACTTATAAAATCGATTTTATTCTATTAACGGGTTTCATTAATAATTATTTTATGGTGTAATTTTTTTTAAATATAGAATTTTAAAGACATATTATAATATAATTAGTTATTAAAATAGGAGAAGATAACGTTTAAATATTTATTAATACCAATTATGTTAGAATATTAAAATTGTACACATACTTTATACTATCTTAAAACTTAAAATAATTAAAATAGTTTAAAAAAATATATTGGCTGGTAACTAATAAGAAAATTATGCAATTTTAGTCATATATATATATATATATATATATATACATATACATAAACTATGTTATTTAATTAATTTTGATGGGTAAATATATATTTAAGATTAAAGTAGACATATTTTATGGGATTCTAAATGAAAATATTAAATAAAAGATCAAAAATCATATTTTGATTTTTTATATGAACTAAAATGAGTAATAATAAAATACATTTTTTTTTATTTCTTTTGTAAATGTAAATTTAATGCTTTATAAAATTAAAAAAAAATGCATCCTCTGTTCATGATAAAAGCTTATAAATCATAATACATTATTTTATTAATATAAGATTTGGTAATATATAAGGATGAGTATGAATTAAGTTTTAGATGAAAAGCTTGCAATGTGATCACATGTGCACACATTTTTACGTTCTTTAACTTATTCTATATAATATTAATCAACTAAATAAAGACACCTTCAGAGAGGCACGTATGCACGTTGATGCATCGTCATCACCCAACATCATCACATCACCATCGAAATTTTTACGACGTCTAAGTGGTAAAAGTCGGTGTTTAACGTTTGTAAATAAATTCAGCTCTTTTTCACCTTTTTATGTGATAAAAAGGGACGAGGTATAAGACAACGAACACAGAAAATAAGAAACAGAAACATGTACACGAAGGAACGAAGGAACTAAAAGGTTTTGTTATCTCAGGTTAGTAACTACTTTATACTTTTCCCCTTAACGCTAATGCCCCGAATCTTTTATTTATTTATTTGTTTTTTTTTTAGCATAACGTTTTTTTTCTCTTTGACTCCGTAAAAATAAATAATAGGATATTTTAAAACACGACAGACTAAAACAACAACAATAGAAAAAAAACCGCTCTCGCTCTTCAAAAAGAAAATTGTTTTACCATTCTTTTGATTCTTAATAGTTTATTTGTATTGTTTACATTGATGTTAACGTTTTCCTTTAAAATTAATACCATTTAAACCAGAAATAATAGAATACAATTGAAGTTATATTGAGAAACTTATATATACATAATACATATATTTGTTGTTTTAAACTAGAAAATAATATAAATCTTGTATAATATACCCACTAATAGTACAATAATACTTAATTATGTAAGTAACACAATAAAAGTGTATTAAGTAATAATATTATAGAAATGTATCAGATGTTAAATAAGTGTGAAAATTCGAAATTACTGTATGAATATTTTAATACCTATGTGGAGTAATAACAGATAAAATGTCTGTACATTTATAATACAAAAATATAATAACCTTATTAACAATATCATAATATTAACGTTTATCAGTTCCAATTAGTTTAATGATAGTTTCCAAACTTATTGAATACGCTGTATAAATTTCGTTTCAAAACAAAATTTGATACATTTGTTTTTGCATATTATTTGAAAAAATTTTCATCTTAATGTATAATATTTTTAATTACATTTTTTTTTTTTTTTTTGTAATTGGTTTGCGTGATTTATTATAATCTACAACGATCAAAATGAATTAATTAAATTATAATCGATTATTAATGCAGTGGAAATCATAAACGTCAAAATGAGATAAGAACAAAAAGTCGTATCGTACAAAAGCACCAAAATCGTATCGTACAAATGCGCCAACATTCTAGGTAACTTAGGTAGGCTATTTAAATTTAGAACTAAGTATATTATTCAAAACCTCCAAACGTTTAATCTTAATCACATTTATTATCTGATTACGATAGATTGTCACATAAACAGTGTGTGAGCAGTTTTGTGTTATACAACTATAATTGTTGCTACCTATTCGTAAGCATTCGTGTAGGCGTCATTCGTTAAAATTCATTTTACAAAAATTCTTACTGATAAAGGTGTTGCGTGCATTTTATTAAAAGATCAAAAATAAAGATTTTTACGAGAAATGGCCAGCGGTAATGTGTCATTGAGGTGTACCAAGACAAATAATAATTGTACAATGGAAGAAATACCAGGATAATGAAATAAATCGTTTGGAATATGTAAAAAAAATTGGATTAAAAAATCAATCAATTAATTAAAATTATATTTATTTGTATGTATATTACTGACAATTTTTAATAAAATCGAAACATCAAATGATACCCTTGGCACTTAATTCATACGTTGGGTATAACTGGTATATGATATTAGATTGGCGCTTATGCCCTACATATTTTGGCGCAAATGATATGTAATTTTTGTACCTTCGGCGCTCTTATCATATAGTCTATCAATGTATTTACTTTATTTAGTACATTGTTGATTAAAGTTACACGAATATCAAGTCAAAAAAATTTCAGATTAATGAGATTAAATGGATGACAAGATCCAAATATGGGGCTCTAGGGAAAAATCAAGAATAAAAAAACTTTTACTTTAACTCAAAATAAAATATTTTGTTTAATAACAAAAGCCCTATACTATGTTTCCAATCAAACTTTATACTCAACCTTAAAGAATGAATACAATGCTAGAAATCACAATCAAATCCTACGCTCGTTATAAAATTTCTTTCTGACCAATTAAATATCTTAGCTAAAAATCTTACTAAACCAACATTCGGAAACTCACTCAAAAGATTGAAAACAAAGCGGTGTCGCAACCTATTTCTCTAATTCAACCTCATAGACTCGGATCATCTTAATTTCGGTGTTCGTCAATTGTGCCGGATTTGGGACACTACCTGTATAGTATACATCTATTGCGCCGGTATAAAAAGGGTGTATTAAAAAGGTATACATCAATTGCGCCGAAGAATTTGACAATGACACAAACTGTCTTAATTGGTTTTAATTTTTATAATAATTATATTATATTAATTAAATATTAATTTATATTAATTATATTATTTTTATAATAATTTGTACAACAATAAACAAAAATATATACATTACTCACAATTTATACAATTTATAATCTAAAAGTCAATAACTGAAAAAGTTTTAAAATATTTGATAATATACAAGTGACTTATCAGGAAACATCAGCTTTATCAGATTGTGAGGCAATTAAAAATATGTCGAACAGATTGTCAAATATCATATTTTATTTTGCCATGTCTAATAATTTGTCATGTCGATTCAATACTCAAATTGTCTTGATTTTGGTGTCAATATTTACTTTTCTAAAAAAATAAATTAAAAATAGAAAATGTAGACATAAATGAAGATTTTTATTTAATTACTTTATAAAAATGTGTTATTGTGGTAGATTATGCGTTTTACAAATTCAAACATATCTAAATTTCCATTTAAATATTTGGATATATTTTCGTCAGCTATAGTTT